ACATTCTGATGGGAACTGTGGCCCACCCTAACATGGCCTACCTCCTGCTCCAACACTCGTGGGTGGGTGCTGCAGCCTAATCCAGCCAGACATACTTCCAGTCCCAGCTTTGTGTGTTCCATTGGTCGTCTGGTGATGCTATTTATTCCAGCCTGGGTCACTCCTGTGGGCAGGGCCTTGGCCTGAGTCAGACATGCCTTCCGGTTTCCCTCCCTCGAAATGACTCAGTCTCAGCTCTCTCGTCCACCTGTGACTGCAATGGCCTGGTCCATGGAAGACCCCATAGATCATTACTCCCTTGTTAAACATGTCCCTAGTCACTCCCAGTCCAATTCGTTCCCAGACCCCTGTGCCCAGGCAATCTGTAGCTCCCCACACAGGGGGCTGGGGTGGAATATCCCAGCCAAGCATTCCACACATACCTTAAAAAAAAAAAAAGGCAACTATATCAGCACACAGGTATAGTTAACACAATTTTGGCATTAATCAGGTCCAGAATGCCTGCCAGCTATTGGATACTTTTCTCCAGGCAGTGTAACACTTGCTTAAGGACCAGGCAACCTAGGCAATTATCTATAACCGGGGTGCAATCCTTTTTAATTAGCACAATATTATAAAAGATGAAAATTGGGAATAATTGTGCAGTGATTTCAGTAACTCCACTGAAGCCACAAAATAAATTAGCACCTCAATTGGGATTAGGACCCACTTCTTAGACAAGGATCTGCCTTTTGCAATGTTGTATTCTAGGAGAGTTAGCTGCATGTGAGCCATCGCAGGTGTCCCACAAATGTTCTAAGAAGTGTTCTCTGGCAGTCTAACCTCAGATACACATCTCAGCATTCTAGGAGCCACATTTATGTTCCAATATCTAGCACAACATCTGGCACCTGGTGGATCCTCAACCTATATTTGCTTTATTGACACATAACTGCTTGTTATGCTTGGCCTATCTGACGATGATTAGGCTAGCTTCCCGTGCATATTTGCAAGCCATGTGTGACCTTTCCTTTGGATACCTTTGGGGTCTCCCTTTTGATTTTTAATTTTTTGACACAGAACATCTATGAGTGAAAAAGCAGCTTTGCACTCAAAGGGTCTTTTGAATAAGAAGATTTTTTGAATCCAGCTCATAATAAAATGAATATGAGAGAATGCATAAGGATACAAGAGTGTCCTGGGAAACATGGTGGAATTCTCTCCTGTTTCCAGATAGATTTAGGGCACTCAGTTGTCCAGTTTGAACTGTGATTTTGTTCTTTATGGCCTCAAAGCCTGAAAGAGGAGGCTGTTTTTCACAAATAATCCTTGTGATGAGTTTTGCTATTGTATCTCATTCCCATTCATACATGAGTTTGACATGTGAGGCAGAGCAACCAAGACTCCGGGAAATACAGAGCTGAAAGATGACCCATTTAGCTCAGTACCAACTGCCAAATGATGCCTTCATGGACGTGGACACTTCTGCAGACCCCAAGCTGAAGGGCCTGTCTGTATGGGAGCTCTTTCCTCAAATGCTTCCTCTCCCAAACAGAAGGTTCTTTGTGTTGAATCCAGTTGGTTGACAGGTATAACATGTTACTTGGAAAGAATGAGGCTATTTTCATGCTGTGATATTTTAAAGAAATTATCTTTATTTTTAATTGCTCACCTAGACATGCCAATAGATATAGAGGCCACATTTTGAGCAAAACGCACAAGTTTTTTTTTTTTTTTCCAAATTTCACATGGGTATACAAAACAACACAATTTTAAGAATTTGCTTAAAAGGAAGAAGCATGAGAAGTAGAGTGATATACAAGCTTATAACCAAATCCAAATCAGTGAGCAGATCTGGCCCTGCATGAAAAAAGATTATAAAACAAGCCTGTGTGTGGGAGGAAGCACTGTGTGACAATAGGCTGCAGGACACGCACTAAGACCCTGTGTGGGAAGCAGTAAGCAGGAGCGACAGAGCCAGTTTCTGCTTAGCCTAGCAAGGAGGTACGTGCCCAGCAGTGTTTTCATGAATAAGATTCCCGAATACTTACCACCTGTGATTCAATGGGAAAGCAAGTTTTGCCAATCAGGCCTGGCAGTGATATAAATCCTCACTTAATTTGATCTTCATTTTGGCTTACTAAAAATAGCCCTTTGATTTTTTCTTCTCGAATGATGAGACAGTTAAACTTGATAAGTCAACTATTGATGATCTGTGGACTAGAAGAATAAGATTGTAAAGAAAGCCCAACTGGTCATTGAGCTCCTCTAATTGAAATATTGTGACTGAGCCACTGGTAGGCAAGAAAAAAGTTCTCACATTCTTTTTCTGCCAACGAGTGAGGAACTCAAGAAATCTCTGGCTGGTGACCAAAGCAGACGGATGCGTCTGGTTTACACATCGCGTCTCATTTGACTTTAGATTTTTGTTACACTAACTTTACAGGTTTATCCATTAGCTAGTTGGCAGTTTTCCCTATGAGTTTTTCCCTAATATTTCACTGTAAAACAAACCCTCTTGCCTTGTAACTTGGAACCACTTAGAATCCCCCCACCCAATCTTATTTAGTTATGATAGCATTATAATTTAAAGTCCATTTCCTAAACTCAAGCTAGAGGCCTCACTAGCTGAAATACTGTCTTTCCTAACTCTGCTTTCTTATCCCCAACAATTGCTTTCCTTGAGTTGATCTCATATACATTAAAAACAGCCTCCGCATCATCACATGGAAGTAACAGAGGTTTGGAAGCAGGAATACATCCAGAATATTCTCTTCTGGGACCTCACTGAGCTGACAGCTTTAGAATTTTAAAATGATAAAGAAACATGTGTCAGTTCATAGCTGTTACAGAAAAAAAAAAGTGAGTGTTAAGTCTCTATACTTCCCTTTTTACTCATATCAGTAATTCCAACATATTACTCATCTATTTCATAAGATCTTCACACTTTCTTTAGCACCAGCCAACAAACTCACCTACCAACTTTTCCAAGTTTCCCTTAAACTTGAATTCTTTCAAGCCTCAGACTCTCCATGGGAGCCTATTACAGGCCAATCACCTCTCTAATATTCCACTTGCATCACAGGATAGAAAATACATATATACATATATATATGTATACCTATATATATATATGTAGATATAAAATCAGTTGCACTGAAGAAATGAGAGCTAGCAGCCATTCTATTAGCTTAAGAAATGGCTTAAGAATGGCAGAAATGAGCTTTCTCCCATGTTGTTTAATGTAAAATGGAAGGGGCAGGGACAATTCACAGCTGACATGGGTTATGTAAGAATGTCTAAACGCACAATTCAGTGCACAGAGTGGAAGTGACTAGAGAAGAAAGCTGTCACAGACTGATTTTCACGGCCAAATGTCTGCAGAGAAAGCAGCAACAAAATCCCAGGAGACTCTGCTAAGCAAGAGCCATAACTAACCACAAGTGACCTGCCAGGAAGGTGTGTCATAAAACTGAAATATTTTCTTGATTTAAATAATGTTAACTCCAGCAAAACAGTTGGGTAGTTGTCTACACTAATTAAGACAAATAAAAAAGAAAACTCCAGTTAGAGTTCACACCAAAGAAACATATGCCAACCGTAAACCAAAGGTACTTTGGTACTATAGCCATAACAGGCAAATTCATGGTGTGGGAACAGGGGATTCCCTGGTGGTTAGACCACAGCATCAGAGAAGGATTTTGAGACCTGCTATGTGTCTCCTGGGAGGCTGCCATCCTGCTATCTTCCATAACCAGCGACCCGCAAACACAACCTTATCAGCCTGTGGCTTCAGAGTGGACAAGCAACTTCAGGGCTGGCCACGTTGTCTCAGGAGGAGAGACGACGGGGCTGGGCACCCTGGAAGAGACCCTATGGTGTCAAGCAGAACGCACATCCGGCTACCACCATGGGTCTCCCAAAGACCTGACTTGCTCACTTTGCGATCAGAGCTGGACAGCACAAGGATGGACAAGGATGGGCAGGTCAGCAAGCTGGCTGTGAAGGCGGAAGTTAGGAAGCTTTCAGAAGATGAAAGAGGTTGAAAGTTAAGGCCTTTACCTGCAAACCATCGAATATTAATAAACTCTATATTTACAAATGCATTCTCTCGTAGGAAAACTAACAGGATTCTGTTCACAGTGCCATTGTTTATACAGGTAGCGATCCCACAATACTCACGTATTTTGGCATGGGAATCAGTAGCGTTCGGTATTTACAGAACATGTACATGTGTGCATATAAACATGTCACGGAATCCGTAAAAGACAAGATTGGCTGACCGTGCAAAGGAATGGACTGCACAGCACCTTCCCCTCGGATCGGCTAGGAAACGGAGGCTCCAGAAACGGAGAAGATGCCAAAAATCTCTGACCCCAGGTGGCACCAAGTCAGGAACAAAACAATGACCCCATGTTCAAGTTTGGGTACATTGAGGAATCTTAATCCAAAGTCTCAGCTCCATTGTTCTAGTGCACAAAATAGAAAACGTTAAAAAGATTTATTATTATTTTTACAATAATAATTATTATTAAAATAGAAAGTACTTTCTCCTTTGTGCTCTTTGCACTTACAACCAACACCCTTGGCGGGCCACTAATGCTGGTGTTTTTGTCATGCAGATCAGCAGTCAGATGGCAAATAGGTTACAATGCTCCGGAGCTGCGCGTCTGTCCCGGGGTGATCCAGCGTGACCCAGAGAGACAGGACGCAGGCCCTCTTCTTCACTCCTGGTCTTCTCCTCAGGGTGGAGGGACGACTTTGCACCTACAGTCAGCTCCCACGTTCCCGAATGGAGGCGCTCATTTCGGCAGCGAATGCTGAGGTGACAAATGGCTTTCTGTACACTTGGGAAAAGGAAGGGAGGCAGATGGGGAGCAGGAGGGTGGCGCTCAAAAGGGGCTTCCCCTCCCGCACCTTGCACACAAAAAAATCCAGACAGCGACTGAGCGGGCCGGCGCAGGAGCCGGGCTCTGGGTGATGCGTCCTCTCTCGGCGACTCCAAGCAGGCGCGGCCCTGCGCCTCTAGGGCGCCGCGTCCTCGGCCTCCGGCGGCTCCTCGGCCTCGGTCCCCGAGCCCGGGGGCTCCGCGCTGCCGCCGCCGGCCCTGCCCCTGTGCTGCTTGGAGAGCAGGCTCTTCCACTGGGCCTTGTTGTGGGTCAGGTGGCTCAGCATGGTCTCAGACAGGCAGCTGTTGCCGGTGAAGCGGGCCCACTCCCTGAAGAGCGGCTCCACGATGTAGGTCATGAAACCTGTAGGGGACAAGGCCACAGGTGTCACCACGAGGGCAAGGGGAAGCACGCGTTCCACCCGCTAGAGCAAGAAACACAGCATGTCACGCTCTCTCTGTGCTCCAGAGGGGAGCATGAGATAGATCCATCACGCTAGGCTTGACTTCAGTCCGCCCTGTTCTTAAGTTGCCCCACAAGGGGCTCGGAAGGACAGGAAACCCAATGAAATGACTTCCCACGTGTAAGGAGTTAGGAAAGCTCCTGGATTGCAGGTAACAGTAAATAGAGGCTGTGAGTGTTTGTCAGAGCGAGAAAGAAGGAGCAGCAGGAAGGGAGAAGAGTGGGGGCTTGGACTAAGGCAGGGGGTGCTAGGGAGGAGCAGGTGGACGACACTGGCTCAGACCAACTGGACTCATGCATTTACCCCATAGGACATTTTTCTCCTCCAAGATTATTAATGTTTAGTTTGGTCTTACTTTCAGGGATTTAAAATCACTACATTTAGATAAATAAAGTTCATTCACATTCAAGTACAACTTTTATACGCAAAAACCGCTGTAATAACTTTAGAAGATTGTGTGATATCAGGTTTCCTTGGCTACAAGTCTGTTGTCTTAATCATTTGATTTGTTGCTTTCTCACCCCGTTTCAACTGTTGATGTGTTTTCCACATCAAACATGATTTGTGAGGCAATAATTGCTTTCAGCCGAGGCTGGAATTATTGGTATCAACACAAATGCAGACATACATAGGATTTGTGTTTCGGTGAAATGAGGGGGGGAGGAGTGACACAAGCAGTGCTTTTCCAGCACAGTAAAGATTTCCAGCACTGAATGCTGTGTGGTTATTTACAAGCATGTGAATGCTAAGGCTTGATTGCATCATCTTTTTTATTGGACAAACCAGCAGACACTGAAGATGTTATAGAGTTGGGGGAAGGAAGCAGTGATGTACTGTATGGTCTTATTTTACATGAAGTATGATTTGAGTTTGTGAGATCGTTTCAGATCATCTGAATTCAAGGGCTGGTGCTGCGGCATAGTGGGTAAAGCTGCTACCCACAATGCCAGCATCCCACATGGGCATCTGTCTGAGCTCCCTGCTATGTGCCTGGGAAAAAGCAGTGGGAGACCGGGAGGGAGCTCCAGTTTCCTGCCTCCATCTGGCCCAGCCCCAGCTATTGCAGTCTTTGGAAGAGTGAAGCAGAAGATGGAAGACTTCTCTCTCCACTCTCTCAAACTTATTTTATTCATAAAAGTAAACACAGTTTATGTATTTCAGATTTTGGAGCATAGTGGTGGAAGACCTTTCGTCTGTCTCTCTGTCTCTTTGTAGCTCTGCCTTTCAAATAAATAAGATAAATCCTTAAAAAAAAGGAAAAATGTGAAGCTAATGAGTTTATGTGTGTGCATCTGGTTTAAAAAATAATTACATATATGTAACATATATTTTATATATATATAAATAATTTTATACATATATATACACACACATATGAACCCAGAGACATTAAAGAAATTGAGAGAGATAGAGAGAGAAAGAGAGAGAGAGAGAGCATGCACTTCCCTCTCCATTAGTTTAATCCTCAAATGACTGCAGCCTGCAGAGGTTCAGGCTGGGCTAGGACTGAAGCCGTGAGCCAGGAGCTTCAATCCAGGTCTCCCACATGGGTGGCAGGAACTCAGTTACTTGAGTTAGTGCCTGCTGCATGCCAGGGTCTGCGTTGGCAGGCAGCTGGAGTCAGGAGCCAGAGCCCGAGCTTCTGATATGGGATGTGGGCATCTCAGCTACCAGGCTCAGCACTCACACCTGCCTATGGCATATGGACACGGTTCTGTATGGAGTCAGCTGATACATACTTCCCATTTGGCTTGCTAGTTTTGAATTTTCTCCACCTTCTTCACAATCTGTGTTTACTCTCCACTCTACTTTCACTAGCTAGGAGATTAGATATTAGATAGTTAATAAGATAGCTTTCAAGTGAAATTATAAAATATAAAGTTTAAATTGTGAATATTTATTAAGTTTACCCAAGTCTAAAAAATTATAAACCCAACATTTTGAAATTTCACACTTTAAAAATCAACTCATTTTCTTCCTGAAATTATCCTGGAATTATACATCTGTATTTATATTCCTCAGATATAAAGACATATTATGCTAACTAGGATAGCAATTTTAAAGTCTGGACAGACACCACAAAGCAGCTTTTAAAATACAGGAAGACAGGACCAGCGTGATGGCTCAGTTGCAAAATCCTCGCCTTGCAAGCGCCAGATTCCATATGGGTGCCGTTTTTGCTGCTCCATTGCTCTTCTAGCTGCTCCATAGCTCATCTAGCTCTTGTGACCTGGGAAAGCAGTGGAGGATGATCGAAAGTCTTGGGACCCTGCACCTGCCTGGGAAAGCTAGAAGAAGCTCCTGGCTCCTGGCTTCAGATCAGCTCAGCTCTGGCTGTGGCAGCCACTTTGGGGGGTGAACCAGCAAATGGAAAAATCTGTCTTACCTATGTAAACTCTGACTTTCTGATAAAAATAAATAAATCTTAAGAAAAAATAGGAAAAGGAAGGCTTCTGTTAGTTTTGGGCACCTATCCATAATGGTGGTCCTAATCTCTGGCTTCCCAACAGTATTATCCTGGAGGTGTGGGAGTAGGGGAAGGGATGAATGGTGGCCCTGAGATAAGACCTGAATTGAAGCAAAATCCCTTTCATTTCATTTTTCATCTTGTTTCACCCATTAGAGATTCACTTGATTTGATACTCCTTTTTAAGATTCAGAATTTAGTGTAGAGAAGGGAGTAGGGAAGGGGATAATAAGCCCTAGGTCCACTTGGGCTAAGGTGAAGTGCTTACTAACATTGATCTAAGCCCAACTGAGGCTGGCATTCAGGAGATTCTGGGGTGGGGACATGAGAAAGAGAGGGCAGTCAAGGCAGAGGAAATAGTTGCACTACCTGAAATAATTGTCTTAGAGCAGGGAGCAGAGAATAGAACTTGCAGCTTCTAGGAGCTGAATTAGTTTTTCCAGTTTAGCTTCATCTACTTCTCCCACATGTCTGCACCCTGAGCCTGTAAGCGCTGGCAGAGGTGGCATACCACAGACTGACGCACAGCCTCATCACCTATTTCTATCTTGCTGGTAAGAGGACATGACATCCATGGTATTTCCCTATTCATTCTACCCTCATCCCATTTGTATCTATGGTAACCACATTTTCCTGAGCTGAAAAGCAGGACATTGATTTGACAAAGTATATGTGTCCTCGTGACAACAGCAGCACAGGATCTCTGATAGGCACTCATGCGTGGGATGCATGTTGTGTGCTTCAGTGTTGTGAATGCTGTTGTTGGGGGGCTTCTGCACGTCACTGGCAGCTGCCTGGCAGGTTTTTTTTTTCCCCTAGCCAGAGCCCAATGCAGTGAACCTTCAGGTGAGGCCTTGGGTTGGCATCTCACTTGGAATCACATCTGCACGGCCTCCGGGGCTGAAGTGGCTCATGGCAGAGAACTGATCCCCAAGGGCTGAGGCTGCGTTTCTGCTGCTGCCTCCTCTCCCTGAAACGCCCAGCAGTACTGAGTGCTGGGTTCCACTGTCTAATATGTCTCTCCTCTAGCCTTGAAAAATATTTTCTTTATTTAGTTTCATTTTCTTTTTTTGACAGGGAAGAAAAGAAAGAAAGAGAGAGGGAGAGAGATCTTTCATCCCATCTGCTGATTCACTGCCCCCAATGCCTGCAACAACTGGGTATGGATTTAGGCCAAAGTCAGGAGTCAGGAGTCATGGGTCTTCCATGTGGGTGGCAGGGACCCACGTACTTGAGCCATCACCTTGCTCTCCCATGGTGCTCATCAGCAAGGAAGTTGGAAGTGGAGGAGCCAGGATTGCAACCTGGTAGACACTGTGATGTTATCTGAGTGTCCCACTGAGCATCTTCATCGCTGTACCTACTGTGAGCACCTGTCCTTTATGTCGAACAGCCAGTTTAATTGTGGAAAATATAACAATATTAAGGATAATCCAGAAAAAATAGATCACCATGAATTTCATAATCCCACATATCTACTTTATCATTTAGGTATTTCATTCAATCCATGTTGCTAGGTGTACTTTGTCTCTATTTCCTCAAGATGACTTTATTGTTGCAGAACATGAGTTCATTTAGATTGTCAGGGATGGCCAGCAAGGCATCACTCATTTTTGGCTTCCCCTTTTCTTTCCTGAAGTCCAGGTAGATGCCCCAGAGCTTTGCAGAGGCCTGCAGCACTGGCCCTGTCTGAAATCTACGGAGCAGCTGTAAAACATGAACTGCTCCATGTCAGGGCCAAAATTAGGGGAAAGAAGCAAAGTTCTGAGTTTGTGTTGGTAGAAGGCCACTGCCAGGAAAAGAAAGGCTGGTTTTTCAAGGTACATGGGTGGTATTGGGTTGTTCTAAGATGTGACAAATTCTTACAGTAGCACAGTTCTCTCTTGCTTTAAAGTGATATTTTATAGTTTGAGATGAGCTCAGTGGCCTGTTGCATCACTCAATTTGATCAAGTAGTAATTATATTCAGATATGATTCAGATGTCTTGACATTGCATTTCATCAGTGTATGACAAGACACTTGTGAGAAGAGTGTTTTTCAGAGAATGAAGCTGATAAGAAGTTTTAAAGCAAGAAGTTGAGACATGTGGGGCCTCAGACCATAAGGGGGATAACAAGTCCTGTAGTTTACTTGTGGGGTTCTGGGCCCATGGAAGAGAGTGCTAGGAGTGAGGGATGGCAGGCCAAAGTGGAAGAGAAGAAAAGGCCGATTCTATCTGACTTCTCTCCCAAAGAGAGTGTGCATAATCGATTTCTATTTTTTTCAACTACTTCATTTGATTTGGATTCTGAATGGCAATGTTGACACAGAATAATTGATGGCCTGTAACTCGGCTCTTATGTGATATTTCATACTTTTTCAATTGAGAATTGCCTAGTGTATGAGTCATGCGTGAAGTGTTTGTTGGGGGCACTGACACAGCCGAAGGGGGCACTGACACGAATCCCAGTCTGATCTCTCCAAACTGCTGCTGCGGATTTCTCACTGTCTGCAGAGGTGCCCCACGATTCATTTCAAACTGACACTGATTCCACTCACCAATTTGTATGCTAGGAATGGAGTCTTTCTGTTGGTTACAAAGAGGACTGATTTCCAGTTCAAATTTCTGTTCCAGGTCACCTGGGAAGAAAGAAGAAACGCATTGGGAATCCAGCATTCATCAGATGAGTGCCAGTAGTTTTAATGACCCAGCTGCAAGAAGTTTTTCTGGGAATTACTGGGCTCTGCCTTGTTAGGAGCGCTTCAGCACTGACTCGCCGTGCCTTGCTCCGGTAGCTTCCGCGAACATTTAAAATAGCAGGATGTTAATGACCTGCTAGAATAGGCCCATTGTAAAGAGGTGTGCTCTGGGACTAGAACAAACTTTTGAACACGATTTATAAAAGCAAGAAAACAACGAACGGGCAACTCCCTGACATGAAATGGGAGTTCTGGTGAAGTTATAGGTTAAGAAAACAGGTTTTCTCCCTCATTCTCCTCCTTCCCTCCTTTCACACTGTCTGATCCCGGTCTGGTTTCATCTGAGGATACCCAGGATGAATAAGTAGCTAGGCCATGGGGTAGGAAGACCAGAAAGATCTCATTTGGGCAACAATTCGGTCTATAGTACAAGGTTAGGCAGGAGTAGGGCTTCAGCAGCCTTTGGACTAAATTCTTAGAATTTTACTGAATGTGATTGAAGCCTCTAAAAATGTAATTTTGGATTATATCTCTTTTTAATGCTTTTGTCCTGTGGAAGACCCAAAGAAAAAATCGAAATTTTTGTGTTGGAAAAAACGATCTGGTTATTCTGTTGAGGAAGTTGGTCCTCAGGTATGCTGGCTAGGTTTACATCTGTGAATTCACTTCTCTAAACAACAGGAGAGAAAACCACAGCATTTATAGAGTGCTCACTGCATGCCAGGTGCTATTGTCAGTATTTTACCTATGTTAATCAATTTATTCCTCCTGGTGACATCATCAGAATCTCTATTCTGAAGACACTGAGATGCAGGGATGAGTAAAGCGCCTTGACCCAAGGTCACACTGCCGGGAGAGGGCAGCCTGGATTCCAATCCAAGGAGTCCGAGGTCGGCCTGTCTGTGCTTCACTGCTGAGGTGGGCCACATTCTTTCTGTCAGTTTCTCTGAGGCTGCATCTGAGCCTCCTGTGGTCCCTCCCCTGTGCCTGGCAAGACTCAAGATGACAATGAGGGGCTGACTTCTCCTGGGGGAGTTTAGGAAAACCTGGGCACTTGGGCTCTTCAGCTCCATGTGAGTGCCGCCTCTGAGCCCTTTCCCAGGAAAAGGGATTGACCTAAAGCCGTGTGCACTACTCTCCTTACTTCTGTTCATAGAGATTTAGCAGCCAGTCTTGAGGAGCCCTTCAGGCTCCCCCTCGAGAGATCCATTCTGGTTTCTTCCTGGTAAGCTTGGAGTTTCATACTTCCTCTCCTTTTACTCTGCCTAACCCTCGTCTGGTTTCTCATGAAATATATTTTTAGAAAAAATAATTTTCACTTTATTTGAAAGCTGGAGAGAGAGGCAGAGACAAAGATATTCAATCTGCTGGTTCATTCTCCAAATGCCTGCAACAGCTGGGGCTGGGCACGGCTAAATTTAGGAGATGAGAGCTTCGTCCTGGCCTCCCCTGTGCATGGCAGTGGCCCATATACTTGAGACATTAGCTGCTGCTTTCAGGGTATTAGCACAGAGCTGGAATTGGAAGCAGAACCAGAACTGAACCCGGGTGCTCTGACACAGGGTGTGAGAAACCCAAGTGGTGACTTCATTACTGTGCCAAATACCTATTCTACTAGCTCATTCTTAATTTTGCTTCTTAGCTAGTTATCTCTTTCTACTTCTTCTTTTGAAGAGGTAGAGTGAGAGAGGAGAGAGAGAGAGGGACTGATTCCATCTCCTGGCGGTTGGGGCTGGATTACATCAAAGTCAAGAGCTCAGAATTCAGTCCAGATCTCTCATGGGAGGTAGGCATGTATTTGGAAGGTGGGTATCAGTTCCAGACTCTCTGCTAGGACTCATGTGTTTTCATCAGTGTCTTAGCACCAGTCCCATTGCTTTCCGCATTCTTAGCTAGGTTTGTTTCTCCAGTATTTCTTCCATTTCAACCATACATATTGTTCTAAATGTGCTGCGAAGATTCCTATTGTCATGCTTTCTACTCTAGCCTAGTATACAGGGATCCCTCCAATCCTCTCATTCCCATTTCCTGCGAGGTCAAGCTGCTCTATAAGGCAGGGGGGTCTTTCTTGGAGCCTTTGTCCCTTTCCACTCTCCATTAAGTAGCTTGGGATGGTCCCATTGGTCTTATTGCAATGGTAAGAATGTTCTTTGTATCACCCACTTTCATAGCCCTTTTGAAATATAATGAGCGGGCCCGGCGCAGTGGCGCAAGTGGTTAAGGTCCTCGCCTTGAACGCCCGGGATCCCATATGGGCGCCGGTTCTAATCCCGGCAGCCCCGCTTCCCTTCCAGTTCCCTGCCTGTGGCCCGGGAAAGCAGTCGAGGACGGCCCAAAAAAGCTTTGGGAACCTGCACCCGCGTGGGAGACCCGGAAGAGGCTCCTGGCTTCGGATCGGCATAGCATCGGCCGTTGTGCTCACTTGGGGAGTGAATCATCGGACGGAAGATCTTTCCTCTCTGTCTCTCCTCTCTGTATATCCGCCTTTCCAATAAACAAAATAATAAAAATAAATCTTAAAAAAAGAAATATAATGAGCATAACTGAGAAACTAGGCTTTCAATTTGGTTAAATTTTAATGTACAGAAATTTAACTAGCCATTTTTTAAAATGTTGTGCTTGCCATGTTGGAAAGCGTGGAACAGGGCATGTCCTTGGTTGCTTGCCCAAACCCAAGCTTCTTCAGCATTGCATCTTCTCCTTTGACCTTTCCCACCAGAGGCCTTCCAATTAGACCATTCCTTCATTTACTACTCCACTCAGATGTTTTGATGCCATAGATAACCAATGTAGTGAAATCAAAGAGGAAAACCACAGAGTTTCTCTTCTTTAGAAACGTTACCAGTTAGTAGAAGTTGGAGTAGAAGTTCACTGTTCTTTGTATCCTTTCTAATACATCCCTGGCAGGACTTTTTATACAGAAAAATCACAGTTTTGCAGAAGACTAGACAAAGCTGGACATAAATGTTTAATAAAAACTCTGGCAACGTGGGTTTATTGAGAAGACATCAATCTGTAGTCATAATAGATCAGAAATTCTACTTTCTTAAAGTATTGAGGGGGTGGGAGGAAGATGCGTGGTGCAGGAACCCTAATCTCTGTTCTGAGAATCTAACAGTTTCCTTAACTTATGAGCTCTCACTTTCTTTTTGCCCCTATGACCTTAACCTTTGCTCAACATCATGAATCATATTAAAGATACTTTCTCTGGGACCATTCGTGGAAGTCTGCCTGTCACGAGAAGGCCGGAATAAGCTGGGAGTTGAGTCCAAATTCTAAGCTGGAAGCCAGAATAAGACGAATCAAAATGATCCAAGTCCTCTTCAAAGACTTGAAAAATAATGATTCAGTAGGGTGAGCAGGAAGTTTGGATGGGATTGGAGAGTCTGGTCTTCCTCTCTTGAAATAGGCAGAAGTTGTGCGTCACCATCAGCCTAAAAAGAAAAAAGATCTGCTCTTCCTTTTCTATTCTCCTTCCTCTGCCAGGAGAGATGCCCTAGCAAAGGGCAGGGGAACTCCCGTTCAGCAACCTGAGGTATAAATGTTCCAGGTTTATTTTCCTTCCAATGTTGCACACTTGTATCTTAGAATGAAAGTGGCTTTTGTGAAGAGATGTTATAGATTACCTTTCTTGGTTGATGTCATTTATTCTACTTATTGAATAATGTTGATACATTAATTCAATGGACCTTACTGTATGTCCAAGTGACATGATTCCTGTCCCCAGAGGAACAGATGAAAAGATTCAACTGAAACTGATGCCAGTGATAGCATGCAACTGTATCAAAGTCAAACAAAATGAATCTTTGTCTCTGCTCCATTGTTTGATTCACAAGGGTGCAGACTTAAACCTCTCTCTGTGTGTGCTATTTCAATATGTTATACAATCACATAGTACAGAAAATACTTATTGTATGCCAGTTAAGACCTCCTTGCTCCAATTTTATTGTATTTCCTTTGAAATTTCATTACAATTTTATTGTATTTCCATGAATTTTTTTTCTTTATCATGAACAACTAGAATTGCGCTTTTATTTTCTAACCACTTGTACTCAATTCGATTGAAATTACACAGGGTGGCAGGCAATACAGGAACACATTCATTCTGAGAGAAAGAAACGGTGAGCAGAGAACATTCCGGTGCCACATGAACTCAATCAATTCTTCTTTGTCTTCTGTCTTTGGGGCCATCACGATGTCACTGACACATCTTTAATGGGAGCTTCTCCAGGAGACTCTCTCTTGTTGTTTGACCGCCCCACAGAACTGGTATGTGGGACACTTGAGGCTTTATTTGTTCTCAGCCTCTCAAACCTGATCCTGTCGCTAGCATGAGGGCACTGCGGATTCCTGAATAAACACGCTGAACATTGAAACCAAGCCCGAAGAAACAAGGCTGTGTTTAAAGGCCGATATCCCACCCAACGTCAAAATCCTGCTTGCCTTATTCACGGCCTTATTTCTGAATGAGGTTAATCTTTTAAAAATTATACCCTAATGTACGGCCATCTGTCTTTTCAAGGCAAAATTCTTTTACCTCGCTGTGGAAACTGCATTTGAAAGAATGAACTCAAGTTTTGGGCAGCTGTGTTCTATTTCATTATTAACTCTGTTTAAGGAAGCAAGGAAAGACATATAAAGGGATCTAAGTCTTTCCGTCAGAGTGGAAAATGTTGACCCCAAATGGCATTTAGCCTGTAGGCTGAGCTCAGCTCATTAAAATGAAGATCAGCAGAATGCAAGCTACCCCTCCCATTCTTATATTCACAGAGGAAAGCCATTTATGGGTACAAGCACTGATTTGCAGCCATTTTATTGTGCCTCATTACTACCTGGGTCTGTAGTTAAGTAAATGATGTTTATTTGAAATATTTTTCCGAAAAAGGGATTCAATGGTTTGTAGAAGCTAAGGAAAATGGTTAGGATAATAAGAGCTGATGAAAGAACAAATGTCATGATAGATTAACCACTTCCTGTTTTATTAGGATTAGTGCAGAAAAGGCAAAAGGTAATGCAATCTCAGCTGTGGATCACTACTAACCTTGCCTGTAGAATTCTTCACAAACCCTTTCACTCCATTGCTTGCTCATCTCCCAGATTCTACAAGGGTTGCAAATGTCAGCACACTTCAAGGCGATCTGAGAAATGACAGGGTAGGGAGAGATGGTCAGAGAATGACCCTTCAGTTGCTAATGGATCCAAAACCAAAAAGGGGTCTGTCCACCAGTCTGCTTCATGGTACCAGGTCTATATTTGTAAAGGGCCACTCTGACATGCCTCTTTGGGAAAGAGCACTTACTCACCACTACACAAAACCTTCATTCAGAGCTCCTGCCACAGAGCACTGAGAAGGTGAGAGGAGCCATTGGCCCAGAGCAAGGAGCTTCCTGGAGGAGGCTTGGGGCACAGTGGCCAAGGAAAGCTTTGGCTGCTCCTTGTAGTGCCTCCCAGGCAGGGAGGCTGCAGGATACCCAGGCAGGCTCTTGTGAGGCTGCCTGGATTTCACTCTCAGTCACCACATGGACCAGTGCACACATCCTTGAAATGACATGTGCTTGCACTTTTGTGTCTGTATAGCATGTGTAAGTCCACTCAGATTGATGACCCAGGAACTAAGTCATAGTGACCCTCAGACTGTTCTTTTCATCCCCTGGGCTGGCCTGGTGTTGGTGTGGTTCTGCGTTGCCAGCTTTCGTCAGTGACGACAGTCCTTGCATTCTCAGCGAGGCAGATTCTCCCTTCCAACCACCAGGCTGCTGCCAAGAGCAATGCCCACCAGCAAGGTCTGTTGCTTTGACCCTGTTCCTTGATTTGGGATCCGGGAGAGCCTTATAACATGTTGAAGCTGCAAATCAACCTGCTTATTTCCTGGATGCTGCTCTGGGTAAGGGGCCCAAGTCCCTCCCAGCTTTTGCCCTTTAGGGATTTATTTGCATTACCAAGCTTTCTTTTTGAAATGGGCACATAAAGCCCAAACCTTGCAGCTACTCACAACTTGGCTTGACACGCTCAGACATCCAGCTGGTCTTTGTGGCACTCACAGACAGTGGGGGCTGGGGGAGTGGGGAGGCACTGCGTTACAGTTGGGAGTAGGGTGTCTCCTGATAAGGATAGAACACTTTGGATCGCTACAGAGCGCAGCAGGGAAGACTGGAACCAAATTTACTGCCCAATGCAGTCTCCATGCTCAGTTCCTGGTTGAAGATTGTCTATCCAGAGTTGTGCAGGGCTCCTCTGCAGGCTTTTGTGCCAAAAGGTAAGAAGAAAGAGACAATGGAAGACCAAGCAGGCTCTGGTGTAGGTACCAGGTCACAATCCTACTTGGAAGTTCACTCTGTCTCGCCTTCTCAGGTCATGAGCAACTGTTGCCATGGAGTGAAGCAGAAAGGGTTGGATTTGATTTGAGTCAATGTAATTCAACTGAAAATAGCTTACTTATTGGTGTCTAAAACTGGTAAGACTAGATAAACATGTTTGAGCTTCAGGTGAAGTAGGAGTTTTGGTCCAAAAAGTAAGCCAGGAAGACTACTTGGTTTTCAAATCTTGCTTAGATAATAGTTAACATAACATACTTTTGTACTACAGAAAACATCGTCTAGTGTTGCACAGGGAATCACCATGGTAAATTTCATGCCAAGTCACAAAATGTGGTAGACACTTACTGCATGCAACCATCCAGTGGGGCTACTTTGTGGTGAAGCAATTATGAAACAAGGAAAAATGAGGTATTATCAACTTACTGATGTGAAACCCATATTTTACTTGCTTGGGAACCACTTAAAAATTTCATGTGTCTCAAAGTTCTTGTTAAAGTAGGTTATAGCTCTAACTTATACCATGGGAACCAAAGCCTTCCAAATGTGCTAAAAATTATTGGGCTGGTCCCTAAGTGTTTTTACACAAGGAAAATGATTTGTGCTTGTATTTGTTGTTTACCTGCAACATAAAGTGCCTGTCCTCTGCATCCTCCAGTCTCAAGTCTTTATTGTGGAGGTGAGCTTTCAGTCTGGTCAGAAATTCGTTCTGCCTGTTGATGTCTGTTGCCAAGATCAGGGAGCCCAGCTGCTGTTCAATATCCTGTCTGCATCCACAAGAACGGGAGAGAAACACACACATACACACAAAGAAAATCCCTTTGAGTAGGAGGATTGATTTCCTCCTCATCAGGTGGTCTGTAATTTTGCCTTTGATTCTATTTATTATACGGGTCTTGGTCCCTGGCATCCTAGGAGCTCATCTCTCACCCAGTCCACCACCCACTGTGTTGTTGGATGGGGTCATAGCATTGAGCTGTAGGGAGTGACTGAAACCTTAGGTGAACCAAGTCTTAGTGGTGTTGGCCTTGGTTTGAATAATTGGCTTGCTACTGGTGATAATTTCTGCCACCTGCATGTGCATGTCTAGACAATATGGCTTAATTTTAGCCACTTCTGAGCTTTTTATTACATGATATATACTAGTTTATGACTGCTTCTTTAGATTAACACATTTTTGAAATTCTCGTATGTTGATGTAGAGTCATAGTTCCTACATTTTCGTATGTCATTGTGGAAATGTTCTAGAGTGGCTTTGCTCCACTTCAATGGTCACTTGAGTTGCTTTTAGCTTTTGACTACTATGAAAAACGCTGGTGACATTTCAGAAAGCATCTTCTTATATCTGCAGTCACACATGTGCAGAAGTTTCCCCAGAGTCAAATCTGGTCTGGAAAGTTTGGATTGCTGGATATAATCCTCTTCAGTTTACTAGATAAAATTGCTCCCAGCAATAACAGATGCGATTCACATTGCTCTATATTCATCATTATATCTTTTGTCAACCTGATAGATATGCCATGCAACTTATGATTTTATTATGAATTTCTTTGTTTAGTGATAAGGATAGATATATTTTCATATGTTTATTGGATGTATGTATTTCTCTTTTTGTGGGGAAGTTTCTATTCTAGGATTTATCACTGTTGGGTCTCCTTCTCCTCATTGATTCCAAGAGTTCCTTAAGTATCTTGAGTATTGGTCTCTTTTTTTTTTAGTTACACATTATAGATTTTTTTTTTTATGTTGAAGCTTTCTTAACACTTTTTCAATGATATGAATTCTCACTTTTTCATGTAGCTCAATCTATAAATCTTTGTACTCATGGCTAATTTCTCCCTTATTTAAGATACTCTTCTCAGTTCTGGTAAAAATCTTTCTCCCTCTTTATATTCTAGAATATTTTTAAATTTTTACTAGAGCCATTTTTGCTTTGAGCCATATATATGTTTTGACCCGCTTCTGAATATTATAAATAATTACACAAAAAAGGCAGTTGACAAAAGAAATACAAAATGCTTCCCAAATTTAAAGTTATAATGAATATTCCTATACAACAAAAAGTAAATTAAAATGGCTATGGGATATTAGTTCCTCTTTTTTTTGGTGAAGATTAAAATTAACTGTGAAACAATTTACTGAATCAACATATTATTGCTAACAGCTTAGGATGTAAATGATATGGGGAAATGGCCCTATTATTTCCTGTTATTAAAAGCAGTAATCATTGAAGAGCTAGTATTAAAAGCATGTGATGAATATAAATTAATTTCAACTATAAATTTATGTGAACACATTAATAAATACAAAAATAAGTATCCAATGTTGCTTATAATAATGAAATATTTTAGGAAGAAAAATATAAAATTCATAAGTAGATTAGTTAAACCATGGCAAGTTATTTTCAATGATTATTCAATATGTTTATTCAATATGATATACAATATGATGCACAGTCCTATTTACTGAATTGAAAAAAAGTCATGCTTTGTTACATTAGGAAGTAAGATACAAAGTATGTGAAATGTGATTTATATGTTCATAGGAAAGAATTGGAAATATTTGTATGTATAAAGGATTATGGTTTGTTTTTATTTTCTTGGTACTTTTGAATATGATATGAATTCTTTAATAATATAAATATCTATTTGACCTATAATTAGAAGATATAACTGTTTTAGTTAGTAGAGTGCTTCATGAATCAAACTAAAAGGCAAACTAAAAACTTCCAAGTAATATCCATAATACATAATGATAATTACTGTAGTCAACATGTAAATATGGGCAGGAAAACGGGAAAAGATGAAATAAATTTTTTTTTCTCTAAAGAAGTAGCAATGGCTAATAAGCACATGGAAAATTTCAATCTAAGTTGTAATTAAAAGATGCTTACTAATTCTATGAAAATCTTTCTCTCTCTATTTATATACATATTCATCTAAACTGTCAACCTGGAAAATATTTTAAAACTTGTAAGGATAAAACTCAATTTGGATGATGGTACATTGGTCCAGTTTTTGCTCATCTCCCAGTGGAAATATGGTATTTTGCAATGAGAACCTGAAAAAAAATTCAGATCTGTCTGACAACTAATTTCTAACCACAGATTTTCTGCGCCAAGAGAACATTGGAGTTTAGGATGAATCTTATCCTACGTGAATCTTACGTTTAAGAGTGCTTCTGGGAGTTTATGTATAATGACAAAGATTTAGAAACTATCTAAATTCTAAGTGGTAGGCAATGGTTACATACATTCTGGCACAAAATGTCAGCAAGTAAAATAAATTGAAGCCATGAGTTTCAGGATATAGAAAAAAGCCTTTATAGGAAGTAAAGTCAGTTTTTTGTATTGTTACAGTATGTTGATATTGAGAAAAGACAAAAAGCAAATACACCAGCCAGGGTAACAACACGAGCTACTCCTGAACAGCTAGACTTTGGTCAGACATTCCCTTTTTCATTTCAGGCTGAACACTGGGGAACTGCTGCTGCTTTCCACGACTGTTGATCCTTAAGAAACTTCTTATGGCTCAAATGAATTCTTTCCTGAATTTTCCTTAATCTCTTCACTCAGCCCATGTTAATTTCAAAATCAGAAAAATGAATTGAAAGCATTTGCGCGAAGCAGGAAGGACAAATCATGATAATGGTGATGATTTCTGTTAGAGTCCTTTCACATCTGTTATTACCTCATGGTAATTCTTCTGGTGAAAGCCAGTTGGTAACACTGAGACTCACAAAGATCTACAGATAATGTGGTGTTTATATTTGGAATCCACAGGGATGAGTGGGTGTACCTTAGGAAGACTGAGCAGAAAGCAGCGTGCATGGGGGTGTTACCCCAAGGCAACTGGTCCCTCCTTCCCTTTCCTTTTTCACCCTGTTTTTTCCTGTGCTCATTCTTCCTTCCCTTTTCCATCTTGATTTCCTTGTCCTTTCATTCCTTTTGTTTCCCTCTTTACTTTTTCCCTTGATTTCTTTTTTTCCCTTTTAGTTCTTCTGTGTTTTTTAGTTGTTGTAATCTATTGTAGCATGCACAAGCACTGGTTTTATTTAGTTTTCAGAGGTAAAAAGTTACCAGGGTTGAAGTTCCTGCTCCTGTGAATTGCACATTCCTGGGGTGCTAGGAAACAGCCTGTGACAGCACCCAGGGGCCAGCAATGAACCTGCAACACCAGCGCATACTGCTGGTTCTATGGGAAGATAGGTACTGCTCGGCCTTGACCTCAAGTTTTGTGCATGTGGTTAAGGTGGGCACGATATCATATTTACTCCTCTCACCTAGTTCCCTTGAGTTCAGTACATTTTCATTAAAAAGATCAAAATTAGTGGTGGCCTTGAGAGATAGTGAAGCTGCCAACTTGGGGCTGGCTATGTGGAAAATTAGGCAATGGCCTTGGACTAACGAACAGGGGGCCATGAGACCGGTTGTTTTCCTTTTTGTTTAAAATGTGAGAGACATTAAGTAAATTAATTGTGCAAAAAATATATATATGCTGGAATAGATTCAGTTACTTTACGAAAGACACTTTAGAGGAGAATTTTTGACTTCTATTTTTGCTGAGACTGGTGATTGCAAATCATGCTTTATTAAAAAGCTGGTCTTCAATCTGGCTTAAGAACTCCTGTATTCTTTCTTGACAAATATTTATTTAGGTCTTCATGGGAGGACAATTTTACTAAGATAAAGGATGGGAATTTGGCAAGGAAGAGCAGTGAGGCAGAAGAGTGAAAGCAGAGAGCTGTTTATTCTCTCTTTTCCTGACTTAGGTCAGAGACTGTCCAAGGGCCTTTTACAGTGCCCAGGGAGAGTTTGGTTTCTGGGCTGCCGTAACTGACACCGAATGTCCTCTGATAGACAATCAAGTACAGGCAGGAAGCACAGTGGCTGGCGTCCTGCCATTCACACAGGGGTCTCAGGCATGCTTGAGAGAACTAAGCTTATCTCTGCTGCCTGCACATCAGTATGTTTCATCTCGGCGGCACTTACGTCATTTCCTTTGGCAAGTGAGCAAGAAGCCTTGATTCTCGAAGCATGCCAATTGTAGATCGCCAGTGGTGATTCTCCAGCACGGACATATTCTGGGAAGAAAGAAAATAAGAGTTATAAACAAGGGAGAAGCCAGATCCTGATCTGTCAGGTGGAACACAGCTCCAGGGGGCTCTGCATAGTCCCTGTAACCAGTTCGAACGCAGAGGCAGACTAGAAAAGAAACAACATGAAATCATCACAAGACCTATGCTCAGGTCTGTATTGATGGAGGCTGGGCCCTTGTTAACCCTCTGCTGCAGGGTTTCCTTAAGGTTTATTTCCGGCATCATCCACTTCTGCCTCTGCCACTGCTTTCAAAGGAGACACTAAATACAGTAGAAAAAAGTGTAGCAGTTGAAGATGGGTAGCAATGGATATCGCTGCATGATAGTCATAACATAATCTAAGATGATCCTACCAAACTAAGCAGAGGCAGCCTTCTCAGCCTTGGGACTAATCGACTGTACTGACTACAGATCCCTGACAAGGGCAAGAACTTCCTGTGTCCAAAACACTAAGACAGCTGGGACACATTCAGACCCCTGAGGCCAGTCCATACAGTCCATGCTCATTAGTGCTAGAGTTGGAGAGCTACTATCGTGGTGCCAACCCTGCCAATAACCTTTGTGGCCAGTACATGGGTGGTTAGCCCATTAGGTCTATGCTTTAGAATCTTCAGTTGCTTCCTTGATCAATTAGCTCCACAGTTATCCCCTAGTGGGAACCTGTGTTATGCCTTATCTCTTCTTTGATCTTAATACATTAAAAAAAGAAAACACCCCACAACCCACACAAGAATACAACATTCATAAAAACATAGGAAAAGCTGTGATTTCTTGTATAGAAGGCACCCAGAGTTGTCATAATCATGGAGAAAGCAAGTAGAATGAACAGTGATTGCCAGGGTCTGGGTGGGTGTGAGGAACAGAGTTGGGAAATTCTTTAATGGATACAAGCCGGGAAATTCTTCAGTTTTATAAGATAAAAGAGTTTTAAGATGGATGGTGATGATGGCTGTAACACATTAGGAATTCAGTACAAACCACTGTATTGCATGAAAATCAGTAAGATGGTAAAAAACCAAGCCCCAACAAAAACCGCCTGTCTATTGTACCACGGTTTTGAGAAGTTGAGGGGAAAGAAGAAAATAAAATAATAAGCAAACTACGTGGAGTCAGGAGTGAGACTGCAAATCATCCTGTCTTTATGCCTCCTTCTGGCATCTGAGTCACCCATTTGATGCTGTTTGTTCTAACGACCCCATGAGTGCCACACCCTGGATCCATTAGGATAATACAGGCTTGAGAAAACTGGAAGTATTCTTAATTCAAAACCCAGCCGATTCCCTCCAGGACTTTTTATGAAGAGTTTCCATGGGGGCTTAGTCTCACGCCCATCCTCTATACAGGCTCTTACTTATGTTGCTATTCATTTCTCATGTTGCCAAAGAGCCATTACTGTTTATTCAGTCTTTGACCATATCTGAAGCAGTGATGAGATTTTGCTACTTTAATCAACTGGTCTATTATTTCCTTTTGGGCTTGAGCCACACGCAACAAAAGAGAATGTTTATTAGGAATAAATTGTGAGACTAATTTGTTTTGATTAGAAAGATTTATGAGAGCAGAGAGGGATAGGTTAGTATGATGTAACGGATGTTTAATCCTTCTGTGACATTTAACTCAGTCACTCATGAGTTCAATGGCAAAACTAACTCAAGTTGATGTGGACATGAGTGTCCTCACATGAGTTTTTTAAAGAGGCCAGAAAACTGTAACAAGACCTAATGATAAATGACACAATATCTCTGCTAAATGTAACAAGTGTCCAGAGGATGGCCGTAAGCATTGTTATTTATGCCAGCCTGACTTAACGTCTTCATTAATAATTTTCCTGAAGACAGAACACAAAGATACTTGGGAAATCTGCTGATGGAGACGTATTTGGAGATAAGCACCAGGGAAACAGGAGGAAGTTGAGCAGGCTTGGAAGCTGGTGCAGGGTAAAAGGCAATAGAGATTATGACTGCAACTACTCTTTTTGTAGAAGAGTCATTAAGCATCAAAATGTGTTTTGGCCAGAACCGTGTTGGCTGTAAGGCCATGCCAGAAAGTAAGACAAGAATGATGCATGGACGAGGGACTAGCGTTTATCAAGCAACAGCCCTGTGACAGGCACTTGGCATCATTTCATTTGATCCTCATCCACCTCTGTACTGTTTATCTCTTTACCGCACAGATGACAAAAGCTCAGATTCCAATCAGTGAAGCCATAGCCAGGCAAGGCCTTCAACCCAGATGTGCCACATGTAAGACCCAAGCTCTACCTCTGTTACTACCTCACAAACATTCTCTTTGTCCTGCCACGTGCAAACATTAGGAAGCCGCAGATTCACAAATGGATGAATGGCTGCAATTAGTCTTAGCTTTCAAAAATTATCTATAGTTGCTACTTTTTGAAAACTATGGTTGATTGTTTTGAATAGATATTAATTTCTAAACCCTTGTTGGAACCTTTACATTCCTTTTGAAATCTGGTTTCACTGCTAGCATCTCCAAATTTTGAATGTGTAAAAGATTGAATAGATACAGAATTATTTGAGAGAAAATTCCTCTTCCTTTCCAATGTCATTCTTCCTATCCTTTCAGCTTCTGAATCATATAGATTTTCCTCCATGATGCCACTTACGCCAAGCCCTTCTTTTCATCAAAGCAATGCCATGTCTGTGTTTGCTATAGTTTGGTTACGTTTCGAGTGTGTCCCCAAAAGGTTCACAGGTTGGAAACTTGGTCCCTGGTATGGCAGTACTGAGACGGTGCAGCCTGTGAAAAGTGGGGTCCTAACAGAAAGTGATTAGGTCAGGGAGACATTAACTTTGGAAGGGACTGGATTAGTTCTTGCAGGAATGGTTCAGTGTAAGGTGACTGGCTATACTATCTTGCTCTCTGATTTTCTGTGTCACCATGTGATCTCTTTTGCAGGTGCTCATGTCTCTGAGATGTCTTCTGTTACAAGGCCCTCAGCATAGCTGAGCAGATGCTAGTGCTGTGGTCTTTAATATCCAGAATCACAACTTACATTATTACCTATTTTTTGGGTACAGTGTGCAGCCTCATGTATTTTGCAATAAATGGAACAATATAGTTCTACATTATCCTTAATGATTATCTTCTCAACGCTTCCTCCCCACTGATGCCCAGGACATGACTTGTTTATTTGTCATAATATCTTGCCTTCTCCATAATCATTTGTTGAAACATGAAGAAATAGATGTTGAGCAGCTCCACAAGTGCTAGGTGTTATAGCAGGTGTGAAGGGAGCAAGGAAAACTCAAAGTTCCTGCCCTCCAGGAGCTCACTGAACCTCTGGGAGATTGTGCCATCTGCCTTTCCTCATGTCCTGATCCAAACCCCCTGGTGGATCTCTGTCACAGAAACTAAGTCTGATTTCTAGACTTAGCACTCAATGTCCTCTGAAAATTGTCCCAACAATCAATGTGTTCCTATATGTTTGAGGTAATTCATAGTTAGGAATCTTTTCCTACAAATCTCTTTGAGTCCGAATAAATGATGCCGCATTACAGGTCAAGCATGCTTTAGACCAGAAGTGCTGCAGATTTTGGATTCCGCACCCCCACCCCCCAAATTTTGAATATTTGAATGGACTTTATTGGTTGAACACCACTCACTGGAAAATCTGTTATCTAAAACCTCAAAGTCTGAAACATTTCAGTGTTATTACAGACCTCTGAGAATTTCAGGTTTTAGATTTTTGGCTGAGGGGTTCAATCTGTCATAAGCCTGTAAGTTATTAACATGAGCATGACTTTGTTACTACATGACACGATCCTTTCTTTCCACACCTGTGCATGCCTCCCAAGGTGGCTGGTGATCCTTAACACTGCTTTCTTTAGATGTTCTTCTCAAAAGACTGCCTGTCTTTCAAAGTCCACTTCAACCGCTCTACTACAAAGCCATCTGGGATTCCAATGCACAGAGAATTGCTGTTCTTTGAGTGCCACAGCTTTTCTATTGCATTTCTCTCCCGGCTTTCCTCAAGTTCTCAGCCCTGTTGAATGTATCCTGTTTATATGTGTTGAGTTACGTATGCACTTCCTTTTCTTCTTACTACAGTGTGAGCTATGAGTAGGATGCCTCCCTTGTTTCTTTTGTATCCACCCAACCCAATACCTTGCACAGCTTTCATAAACATGCTAGGTAAGTAACTGAATAAATGACTTAGCTTTAGTCAAGTATATTGAGTACTTACTATGCTTTAGAAAGTGTAATATACTCCAGGAGTATACCACTGAACTGAACAGAGAAGGATCTAATGGTGGCAGGGGTGGAGAGGGACAGGCAATACATATAATCAGTCTATCCTTATGGACAAAGTTGTCCAGCTTGTGAGAGTATAATAAATGCATAGAAAGGGGGTGGAATAGAATTGAACAGCAAGGATTTGAGATCTATTGGCATGTTAGCTGGTAAGGTTGTTAGGGTGAGTTTTTGGCAAGGACTTGAAGATAGGAGGGGTACAGCCAAGCTGTAATTTAGAAAAAGTGTTCTAGAGGTGTCTACGGAGGAGCTAATAGCTCTGAGGTCAGTGTTGAGTGGGAGAGGAGAATGTGAGGACATGAAGTTATAGAGGAAACAAGGACTCTGACTCATCTGTAGCCTTCTGGCCATTAGAAAGATTGTAGGGATTTGGGGAGAATCAAATTATGACTTACATTTAAGCAAGATCACTTTGGCAACAATGTTGAAATTGTTATTTGGTGGGATGGTAGGGCTAAGGGGAGAAGCAGGCAAGAGCTGTCATCCTTGCAAGAGAAGATGGAAGCATGGATGAGCAAGCTGGCAGTGGAGGTGGTGTGAGGTGGCTGGTTTCTGGGTCTGCAGTGGGATCTCTGGGATTTCTGGCTTGAGCAATAGAGTGGTCTGATTGGTGAGCAGGTAGAAGGGGAATAGGTTGGGAGTTTAGTGCTGCTGGATGTATTGAGTTTGAGATATTATCAATCATATGGAGAACATGTTGCACCTGCTGTGTA